CTAGGAATAAAACTAACCAAGGAAGTCAAAGACCTATATGCTGAAAACTACAAGACATTCCTAAGAGAAATTAAAGAGGACACCACATCAACAAATGGAAATTCATCCTGTGCTCATGGATAGGAAGAATTAATATTGCCAAAATGGTCATCTTGCCTAAAGCAATCTATAGATTCAATGCAATCCCTATAAAAATACCAATGACATTTCATTCTTCAGTAAACTGGAACAAATAGTTCTAAAATTCATATGGAACCACAAAGGACCCTGAATAGCCAAAGCAATCCTGAGAAGGAAGAATAAAGAGGGGGTATCTCACTCCCCAACTTCAAGCTCTACTACAAAGCCACAGTAATCAAGACAATTTGGTACTGGCACAAGAACAGAGCCACAGACCAGTGGAACAGAATAGAGAGTCCAGATATTAACAGAAACATATATGGTCAATTAATATAGGATAAATGAGCCATGGACATACAATGGGGAAGCGATAGCCTCTTTAACAGCTGGTGCTGGCAAAACTGCATAGCTGGATGCAAGAGAATGAAACTGGATCATTGTCTAACCCCATACACAAAAGTAAATTTGAAATGGATCAAAGACCTGAATATAAGTCATGAAACCATAAAACTCTTAGAAAAAAACATAGGCAAAAATCTCTTGGACATAAACCTGAACAACTTCTTCATGAACATATCTCCCTGGGCAAGGGAAACAAAAGCAAAAATGAACAAGTGGGACTATATCAAGCTGAAAAGCTTCTGTACAGCAAAGACACCACCAATAGAAGAAAAAGGCCTCCTATTATGAATATATTCATGTATTATGAATATATTATGAATATATTAATAAATGGCATATCCAATAAAGGGTTGACATCCAAAATATATAAAGAGCTCATGCACCTGAACAAACAAAAAGTAAATAATGCAATTAAAAAATGGGTACAGTATCTGAACAGACACTTCTCCAAAGAAGAAATTTAAATGGCCAACAGAAACATAAAAAGATGTTCCACATCACTAATCATCAGAGAAGTGCAAATTAAAACCACAATGAGTTATCACCTCATACCAGTAAGGATGGCCACCATCCAAAAGACAAACAACAACAAACGTTGGCTAGGTTGTGGAGAAAGGGGAACCCTCCTACACTGCTGGTGGGAATGTAAATTAGTTCAACCATTGTGGAAAGCAGTATGGAGGTTCCTCAAAAAGCTCAAAATAGAAATACCATTTGACCCAGGAATTCCACTCTGAGGAATTTACCCTAAGAATGCAGCAGCCCAGTTTGAAAAAGACAGATGCACCCCTATGTTTATCGCAGCACTATTTACAATAGCCAAGAAATGGAAGCAACCTAAGTGTCCATCAGGAGATGAATGGATATAGAAGATGTGGTACATATACACAATGGAATATTATTCAGCCATAAGAAGAAAACAAATCCTACCATTTGCAATAATATGGATGGAGCTAAAGGGTATTATGCTCAGTGAAATAAGCCAGGTGGAAAAAGACAAGTATCAAATGATTTCATTCATCTGTGGAGTATAGCAACAAAGGAAAAAACTAAAGGAACAAAACAGCAGCCGACTCACAGAACCCAAGAATGGACTAACGGGTTACCAAAGGGAAAGGGACTGGGGAGGATGGGTGGGAAGGGAGGGATAAGGGGAACAAAAGAAGGGGGGCATTACTATTAGCAGACATAATGTAGGTGGAAGGGAAACAGGGAGGGTTGTACAACACAGAGAAGACAAGTAGTGATTCTATAGCATGTTACTATGCTGATGGACAGTGACTGTAATGGGGTATGTGGGGGGGACTTGGTGATGGGAGGAGTCTAGTACCCATAATGTCACTCCTGTAATTGTAGATTAATGATACCAAAAAAATGGGCAGAGGATCTGAACAAACATTTCTCCAAAGAAGAAATTCAGATGGCCAAAAGACACATGAAAAGATGCTCCACTTCACTAATCATCAGAGAAATGCAAATTAAAGCCACAGTGAGATATCACCTTACACCAGTAAGGATTGCCACCATCCAAAAGACAAGCAACAACAAATGTTGGTGAGGATGTGGATAAAGGGGAACCCTCCTACACTGCTGTTGGGAATATAAATTAGTTCAACCATTGTGGAAAGCAGTATGGAGGTTCCTCAAAAAAGTAAAAATAGAAATACCATTTGACCCAGAAATTCCAATCCTAGGAATTTACCCTAAGAATGCAGGAGCCCAATTTGAAAATGACAGATGCACCCCTATGTTTATCGCAGCACTATTTACAATAGCCAAGAATTGGAAGCAACCTAAGTGTTGCTTAGGTTACAGTAAATGAATGGATAAAGAAGATGTGGTGCATATACACAATGGAATATTATTCAGCCATAAGAAGAAAACAATTCCTACCATTTGCAACAACATGGATGGAGTTATAGGGTATTATGCTCAGTGAAATAAGCCAGGCAGAAAAAGACAAGTGTCAAATGATTTCACTCATCTGTGGATTATAAGAACAAAGAAAAAAACTGAAGGAACAAAACAGCAGCAGATTCACAGAACCCAAGAATGGACTAACAGTTACCAAGGGCAAAGGGACTGGGGAGGATGGGTGGGAAAGGAGGGAACAAGGGTGAAAATGGGGCATTACGATTAGTACACATAATGTGGGGTGGGGGGCACAGGGAGGGCTGTACAACACAGAGAAGGCAAGTAGTCATTTGATACCATCTTACTATGCTAATGGACAGTGACTCTGATGGGGTATGTGGTAGGGACTTGCTGATGGGGGGAGTCTAGTAACCATAATGTTGCTCATGTAATTGTAGATTAATGATACCAAAAAACAAAACTGAAGGAATAAAAAAGCATGCTCGGACACCGAGAAGGGACTAGGGGTTACCAAAGGGGAGGGTTTGGGGAGTGTGGGTGGGGAGGGAGAAGGGGACTAAGGGGCAGTATAATTCAACCACAATATAGGTAGGTCACAGGGAAGGCAGTACAGCATGGAGAAGACAAGTAATAACTCTATAGGATATTAAGGTGATAGACAGTGACTGCAATGGCAGGGGGGGGTGAGGGGGAGGACTTGATAATATGGGTGAATGATGAAATGACAGTGTTGTTTATGTGAAACCATTATAAGATTGTATATCAATGATACTTTAATAAAAAGAAATATTGCTTTCTAAAAAAAAAAAATCTCTGAGGCTACATCTGCCACAGGACAAAAGTACTTGAGTTCTGGGTCCTCACAGGTTCACTCTCATCAGGCACTGCCAACTTCTGGTTTTTTGAGCTTCACTGTATTTTTGGTTCTCTAATTCTATAGCATGCTCTGCTCATCCCTGACATTCTCACTGATATTCTTCAATAAAGACAAACACTTAGTAAATTACAATCACCTTTGCAACTGTGCCTTCTGAAGGTTCTACTCAGTTCAAAAGGATTGGATATATGCATATTCCTCAAATCTTTACAGCCACAGATTCACAGGCAATTCCTTGGCTTAGTATGCTAAGTGGTTCATCACACATTCATCATGCATGGATTTTTACTGGCTTAACTCTCAGAGGACAACCTTGTAACTTTATTTCCAAATTTGGGGGGTGGGGTACTTCACTATCACCTCAGTTACTGCCACAGGTAATCATTTCTAAATGTTGTAATAACTTTGGAATATACTTCAAGTGTCATTCTCTAAAATGGAATTTTTAAGACCCAGAGGATAAACTAGGAGAGGAGAAACTGGATTTGTACCTTCTGTGCGAACTCATGATCCTAATGTGTATGTGCTGAATGGATTTCTTTCTGTTTTCTGCAGGCATTATATCTGATAGCCACTAATGGAACCCCAGAGCTCCAGAATCCTGAGAGACTGTCGGCTGTATTCCGTGACTTTTTAAATCGCTGTCTTGAGATGGATGTGGATAGGCGAGGATCTGCCAAGGAGCTCTTGCAGGTGAAAACAAAATAGGACAATTACAAAGAAAGAGTCATTATACTGAGCTCTTCCATCTCAGTGTGTTATAGTAAGAGAGCTCTGTCAAGAGATGTCTAGTTAGAGTTAGGCTATAACCATTTAATTTTAGGCCACAGGCACATAAGTAGAGGCATGTATCTAAACCATGATTGATTGGCATGTTGCCTTGCTTCTGAGAAGTTGGCGGTTAAATCTGTAAATCTCTTTTGTTCTTCCTGGAGTCTTATTTTGCAAGGAAAAAAAAACTGTGAGCCTCTGGTGTTGCTGTTCTGTTCTAAACTTTACTTGTGCCCCTGGATGTTGTATGCAGGTGCTCTTGGCCGGAGGTAATTCTCTACATAACTATGCAATTATTTCCATGGCATTTGCTACTCTAATGCTTTACTGGTCAAAGCCCCTTTGCTTGTGATGCCAAATGGCAGGCAACTGCTTGCCTGGGTGAGTACCATCCAGTGGTGAGTGCCTCTGTAACCATTTGTCCTTTTCATGGCTCTCAGGGATTAGTATATATGATGACAATGAGTACCTATTCTGTGCCAAATTCTTTACACACACTATCTCATTTAATCTTGAACAAGTCTAGGGTAGGTGTTATTAGCTCATATTACAGATATAGAAACTGAGGCTCACAGAGCTACTGATTGGCAGAACTGGGATCTGAGCCCTGGATTATTTGACTTTCCACCACACAAATGCACCAACCAATTTAGAGGGAAAGATGTATTTTTATTGTTAAAGCCACACATGCCCAGGATCACACATACAGCTCCACCATGGGAGACTGTTCCTTTGGAACACATACCAAACCCTGTAACACCCAGGAACAGTGAATGCTTGTTCTGTGGCTTTGAACACTTCTTCTAGTTAAATAAAATGTACAACAATTGGTTATATGGAGTGTTAACCACAGATCCATTCTATTCTAAACCAAAAAGAAAAAAAATCTGTTCTTGTTGCTCCTGAACTTCATCCAGAGACAGAGCCACACCCAGACCAAAAATTCCTGCCCCCACCCTCAACCCAAACCACATCTGGGATAAATAAACTGATTTGGAGAAATTGAGGAGACTACATCTTTTCTGCTACCTATGAGCATTTCACAGGCTGTCATAGGGCCCTAAAATATCAAATCTGGGATGGCCCTTTATTAGTCCTCTAGTTAGTCTAGTCTCAGATTACAAATGAAAAACTTGAACTTTTGAGTGCTCCACTTCCACATCTTCTCACCCCTGCTGCCACCCCACATACACATCCCAAGGGTAAGGGAAGATACAGGTTCTGTTAATGTAGCTATGTGGTTACATAGATAATTGAATCACGTATCTAGTTAGTTTCTTCACCAATAGTACTTTTATCTGAATCAGTCAGACAAGTGATGTAAGACTACATTTTGTGTCTAAATTGAACAGTTTGTTGCATCTTTTCATTTTACACATGATAGTTATAACCTTTGTATCGCCTTAAGTCGCTATATCTTCCTTCTCTGACTCTAGCCTATCACTGCCCTTTTAGAGGTTAGAAAGGAGAGAGATGCAGGACATTCACACTATTAGAAGGCTTGAGAAAAGACACAGGTCTTGAGTATTCCTGGGCCTTTCTGTATGGCCTAAATCAGTTCTCTGTCCATCAGTTGGTATTTATTGATCAACTTCTGTTTGCAAAGCTTAAGTGCAATGATGATATAAACCTCTTAAAAGCAGGATTCCTTCACTTCAGAAGTTCACAATTTCCTTGGGTATGTGAAAAAATAATGAAAAGTTGTTTAGAGACTCAATCAAACGCAGTGGCTGTTTAAACAGTAAACACCATGGTCGATTAGAGAAATATTCTGTAGGCTATAGGTGATCAAAAAATGTGAACAGGAAGGAGTTCTGCTGGGCCCTGTAGGACAGATTAGCTTCAGATATGTTGAGGAAAAGGGGAGAGGGGATTTCAGATGGACAGGTTATAATGTGACCAAAGGCATGTGGGCAAGGTTGAAGGGAACAGAAAACAGAAAGTAAAATAGCTGAAGCAAAGAGTCAAAATAAGGAGTTTAAGTGTGGAAGCTACAGGAGACAGAGCTGTGGAGGGCCTTGAACACCAGGGTGAAGAGTTGGGGCTGTAAGCAGTGGGAAACACTGAAGACATTGGAGGGACACGCATGCCGAAAGCTTTGTTTAGGGAGATTAATCTGGTGTTTTGCAGTACAAATTAGAAGTGGGAAAAAATGAAGGCTGAAAGATCAAGGGGGAGTTATTCTTACAGTTCAGGATTAAGTTGACTAAAAGACTGGATGAGGGAAGGTGAGACATAATTGTAAGAGACATTAAGAAGAAAGGACTTGGTAGCTGATTGTAGAACATAAGGGAGAGGAAGAAAAAGATGACTTCAGAATATCAAACCAATGATAACATTCAGTAAAAGCCAAAGTCCTAGAGGATAATACAATGGTTAACATTTCTTCACCTCTCTGTAGCTTCAGAGGAACTGTCCTTACCTTACCTCATTTAGCCATTGTGATAAGCAGAGGAGCGGACTAAATCCAGGTGCTCTGACTCCAAAGCCCCTTTAACTGACATCCTGCAAGAGTAGCCTGTTCGGGAGACTTTAACGTATACTTAAACATTTAATTCAAGGTGACAGAAGGACATTCAAAAGGAAATATCCAGCAGGCAATTGGAGAGATAGGACCAGAATTCAGGAAAGACCTCAGCTCACACAACAGAGATTTGTGAGTCATCCCTAATAAAGCTGATGAGAGGTCAAAACCATGAAAGAAAATGAGCTCTCAAATTAAATCAGAAAAAGAGATGATGAGAGCCATGTTCTGGTATGTTGGAGATGGGAGGAAGCAGTGAAACTAGGAAAGAAGATGGAATAGTCAGTGAACAGGCACATGGGAGAAAACCCAGACAGTAGAATGTCACAGGCCCCAAAGGAGGAAAACATTTCAAAGAGGGAAGTGATATTCATTCATATTAAGTACTGCAGATTGGCCAGAAGAAAAATGGTGGAGTCACAGCTACTGGGTTTAGCAGTTAAGAAGCCATAATTTCAGGGTCAAGGTCAACCAAAGAGAGTTTTCAAAGCCTAAGAGCTGCTCCTGATAAATTCATCAGTTGAAGAACATCAGAAAGTCAACTGTCACAAACACAATGGGATTTTACAGGACCCCTCCTCTGAGTGTCTAGCTCTGCCAGTTAGCTTCCAGAGGATTCCATGACACTGAAGGACAAAAACATCTGAAGGACAAAAGCTGGCACTATTTTTAATAAAATGTTGAATTGCATGCTCAAAATACATTTTAATGAGAAAAGGGCTGCTTGAAAATGTAAAGTAATATACTTGTTAGAGGAAAGGATTCCAGTAATTCTTTTTTTTTCCTTTTGCAGCATCCATTTTTAAAATTAGCCAAGCCTCTCTCCAGCCTGACTCCTCTGATTATCGCTGCAAAGGAAGCAATTAAGAACAGCAGCCGCTAGGACAGCAAGCCTTAGCCCACACCATCTCCCTCCTGAGTAAGACTGAAATAAAACTCTGCTGCAGGAAAGATGGAAGAAAAGACAGTCAAATGGGGTGGGGGTTCTTTAACTTTCAAATGAATAGAAACTTCTTATAAGCCTTTTTCCTACTCCCTCAGATTATGTAATTTATTTGTAAGCCTGAATCGCCGCCCAAACCAGGGCAGCAATGTCGAAGTGGCCGTAAAGTGGTCACTTCCACCGTGAAGCGAAAGAGCCAGTAGTGAATCCCCTCATTTTGTGCATTCACTTTGAAGAAAAAAGGTTTCTCAAAGATGCACACTCCCTCTTCATAGTGTTGTGTTTGTTTTTAAGTTAGAGTAGTCCCTCTTGCATTTGAACCATCTTCAAAACTCCTTACCCAATGTGATGTTTTTCACTTGCATTGTCATTAGATGTCCAGTAAAAAGATGTCAAAAGTTTTTTTAAAAAGAAAGCAAAAAAAAAACACCTAAAAACGAAACAAAAAAAAATAAAAAACACAACACAACAAAACAAAACAAAACAAAAAAACACCCAGAGCAAGTACTGTGTGAACATGTGGAAGTCCATGCCCTAATAGAGTTGCAATTTTTTATTCTTCCTCTATAGTGGTGGCTTGGTTTGTGTACCCATTTTCCTGCATTTATCTTGGAAAAGGTCCTTTTAAGACATTTTCTAAAAGCAGAGAGGAATACGTATGTTCAGGAAGGGCTTTTGAAAACTGTCATTCTTAATACAGCTCAAATGGTGAAACCCTGTCACAGTGAGGCTTAAGAGGTAGTTGATTTATCATTTATATAGACCAGCTTGTTCATCATGATGCCTGGAAAAGGACACACCCAGACTCGCACCCTTGATGGGTGAGTCCAGGTCCTGAACCTAGGAAGTCCTTTTGGAGAAACCATACTTAAACAAAGATGGGACTTTCTCTAAGAGCCAAAAGGAAAACAAATGTGTGCAATACTGAAATCCTTGTTGGGCAGAAAGTACACAAAGATAGAGATAACTAATGTAATCCCCTCTTGTGATTGTAGAACATATGCATTGTGAAATAGGCACATCAGGAGGAAATAGACCCATTAGGCAACATTTGCTCATAATAGAAATTATTTCCTTTGACAGCATAACATTCTAGAAATTAGAAAAAGATCTGGAGAGTAGAGATATTGTAAGCATTCAACTCTATAAGAAATGGGAAGTCAGTGAAAACTAATTCCAATCAACATTCCACTTTAAGTACTTGTTTCCATTTTCCCTAAGTATCACCAATTTCTGTTTAAGATATGGTGTGTTCATAGTTAGTCATTTGGGCTTTGAATTTCAAAGACATGATCATAAAAATCCATAAGTTCTCCAGTGAAAATAAGTAGGGTTTGCAATCACATAACCTAAGAAGAATCAATCCAACTGAATTCCTTTTGGGGCTTGGAGAAAATGTGAAGATTTGACTACTATTTCACCATGTGTCTAGTCCTTTAAAATTCAACCGTTGGCTCTTCCTGAGTCTTCTGAGAGAAGAAAAATATCTGGAGGGTGTCTGTGTAGAAAAGGGTATGCTTCTCTTTCAAGTGTATTGTCAATTTTATAAATTCTGCAAAATTGTTTCTCTAAGCCTTTGAAAAGCTAATAATTTGTGCTATAGGTGTCTTGATTTGTAGTATATCAAGAATCTGAATAGAACCTATCTACATCTACACTCAGCAAGAGGGAGAAAGAGATCAGTGACATGGGCCTCGCTCCTTCTCTGCCGAGGTACATCTATCCATCTAACCATCCATCAATTCCTTAAAATGAAAGCACTTTTTTAGAGAGTTTCTGCTAATCACATAGTGTACATTTTTATGTTTAGGAGATGACACTACTCGTGGATTTCCTAGGTTCCTTTTGTTTTCTTTGACTATTAAGTTTGGGAGGAGCTTGGCCCTCTCCCCCAAAATGTCCACAGTGGGAAACAACAAATGTGAAAAGAAAATCAAATGGTAATATTAATTTGAAGCATGCTATGTTATACTTTGCAAAAAGTTGGCTGGGCCTGAAATTTTTAATGCCACACTGCTCTGATGAGAGAAAGGGGCCTTAATTTTTATTTCACTTAAATTAAGTATTTTTAAAAATTTTCCATTCATAGTGCCAGGGAATTCAATAAAATAATACCTGGAATACGAATAGAATTTACTACATTGCTAACTATGCCATGCCAGTGGAGAAAGCCCCAAACCTGGTTGGGAAACTCTAGTTGTCAGTTAGCATCCCTTATATTTCATGAAGGCCTTTGGTTTGGTTTTGTTTTCTGGTGGGAGGAGCCCTGGAGCAGTGATCTTTTAGATCATTGTAGGCAGAGAAATGTCTGCTCTTTTATGCTTTCATTCAGCATATTAGCAATGAGGGGCCAGGTAATGGCTAGACCCCATTGTACCAAGATTTTACGATCATATATCCCAGTAGGTTTTACTCTTAAAAATTTATATCTGTGTAAATTTTTAAAAGAGAACAGCTTCTAAAGACCCTTACCCATGTTAGAGAGTTATGTATATTTCTAAGAAGTATTAGAGAGAGGCTGTTCCTCCTGCCAAAATGATGCTAAATGATTCACATTGGGTACACTTGAGCAGCTTGGACTCCAGATGGTTAATAGTTTATTCCCTTTCCCTGGATTTTTTTTAAGCCCATCTTGACACAGGTGAGTCTACCCAGATCTTTAAAGTTGTTAGTGTGCCCTGAGATAATGGGGGCACATAGTCGAATGTTGATTCTAAAACGTCCTGAGATAGGGAGAGGGCCATGAGAAAGTCAGGGAAGGGTGAGAAGCACAGTAGAGATTATTTATTTAAGAAAGAAAAGAACATTAATGTTGTAGTGAGGATCCGGTGCGTTGTCATAATCCCATGAGGATTTTTGGGTGACATAATCCCCTCAAATCAGTCACCATGATGGGTAATGACTTCGTTCTTGCTGATCTTGTCTATGTGTCATTGTAAATATTTGTGTGTCCATGTTCCATTTTGGCTACTGGATGGCCAAGTCATGTAAGAAGACTTAACTCAAGTATTTATTCTTTAACTGTGTTATTCAGATTTCTTTCAGGCTTGTGAATTGCACCCTAGTGTTTGAGTTTAACCACTTGATCCCCACGTCTATCTCTCCCCTGTGAAGCACATTCCATTGCTAAGGGAAAAAGAAATATGAAATTGCTTCCTGTTGTCTGTATAGTTGTTTTGATAGTTTGAGATGTTTGTTTATAAAGGATATTTCTCAGCTCAAAGATCATGTAAATAATTATATTCCTTTGCTCAATGGGTTGTTCATTTCTAATGAGGCTGCCAGTTCTCAGAGAGCATCTATAAAATCACTTATAAATAACATAAACAGGGATTACAACCATGTAAAAGAAGTGTGCATATGTACAAAGACTGGAAACACAGATAATTGAAATCAGTGTGTTAGGGTGGTGGGATTATGTGAAATTCTTTTTTGCTTTAAAAATTTTCTTCAATTTTGTTACAGTATTGCTTTGTAATGAATAAACATCAGAAAGGGGACTATAGGAACCTAGAAAAGATGCCAGAAGCAGACACTGTCTGGCCAGAGCCCAGAGCATGCAGGGCACAGATACTTGCTAGTTACAGTTATTCCATAGGCTCTATATTTGCCTGGGTGCTGAGGTTGGCACAGGCTTGGGTACGGCATGTGCTTTCTTAGGGGACTATTATCTATAAGTTAAAGCTAGGGAGACGTCACTATTACAATCCAAACACATCCTTCTGCTTTAAAACTGGCTGCCCTCCACTTGGCTTTGGCATCAAGGTTTCTGCTTGGGTTAATCTAGGTTGGAAGGGTGACATTTGACTAGCCTCCTTGATAACATCTGTTTCAGGTATCACTTTTCTGGGTCATTTTAGCAGATTTTCAAGTTGAATTTTGGAAGAATACACAGATAAAATTCCCAGCTCCCACCATTTCCTTGTCCAACAGGATATGATATTCAGGTAGGATTCTTCTTTCAGTGACCGGTAGGGCAAGTCCCATCGATTTCAGTAGGAGTTATGCCCTGCAATTAGAAGCTCACTATGAAAATATTAAGACAAATATTGAGATCTGCTTTTGCCTGTTGGCATTTAGTCACAGTCCTGGCAGCTGTGGCTTGAGATGCCTTCCACGTGCTTCCTGTATTGCCTGATGATAGTTTGTATGCAGTAACTACTGTCATTTTTAAAGAGAAAAAGGGAGACACCTACCAAAACACAGGCAGTTCCTTCTAACTCACCAAAGAAATTTGAGGAGAAGACTTTTATAATGAGGTAGTGGCCTCTGATGTTACTCAGTCTCACCGAGAGCAGACCTTATATCTTGAGAACCCACAGGCTTTTTATTGGCTATTCTCAATGTAAAAACACTTATGGGAGTCTTAACCTTGCCATCCCCTGGTTGAATCTCATGGTCCTTTTCTGAGCTACTTGCAGTTAATATTTGGTTAAAGAAAGGCATGACTGGTGATGCAAGCTTCTCCTGGTTTCTGAGCAAGAGAACTGAAATTCAGCATTTGTAAATTGACAGTCTCATAGGCCTGGGATTTTGAGTGAACTTAACACACAATTCTGAACATATATTTGCATGTGCATTGGGAAGGAAATAAATGGGACCTTGGAAATAATGGAAATATTTTTTCTAAGAAAGAAGTTTTCATGAGAGATTTGTTTCTGATATAATCTTTCTGTTGATTAGCTTTAATTTTTTCACTCCTTTTCTGATCCCACACTTCTTTAAGAACAAACGAATGTAACCCAACTCCTCATGCTTTGGGAATGTCTGTTTAATATTAAACAATATCCAACTGAATCTACAAGCGGGAACTGAGATATTACCGCCATGTGCACACTTCTATGTACAAGTTATACTGTAATGCAAGTAGTAGTTACTGCCATGTAATACAGTCAAATGTGCAAGATTAACTTATGGAAACTGGTTTGTGCCATCTGAGTCTCCTTTGGAAGCTGCCATGAGGTGAGTGCTATCCCATAATAACCAACAGTAAGGCAGGTACCATGTTCACCTGATTTAGTACCAAACAGGAAACCAACAGCAATTATAGAGAACCAGTCAGACGTAGTGGAAGGAGTACTAGCGTAGGAGTAAGGAGACCTGGATTGTAATACAGGCTCCATTACTAACTTACTGTGTGACTTGGTGCAAGTTACGTAACCTTTTCATGGCTGTTTTCTCATCTGTAAAACGGGGGTATGGGACGAGGTGAGCCCCCAGGGGCTTTCCATAAGCTGTACCTTCAGTGGCACTAGAGGCTGCCTTGCAAATTCAGCCTGCTAAAGTGAGGCAAATACTACGTGCTTAAGCCTGGGTTTCTTGTGTTGCGCTAAGCAATAGGACTGTAGGTGAAGCTCTAATAACTCTCGGGAATGTTGATAAAACTTGTGGCAGCCTTCCAATTCCTTCACAGTGGTTTTTTTTGCTCTTGTTTTTGTGTCTCTATTCGGAGTGTTCCCAGTTTTCATTTTCCATGCGCTCGGTATGTAAAGTCTGGTTTTCGTTAAGCTGTGGCCAGTATTTGCGACTGGAACGCAAATACACTATCACACTTGCTAGGATAGAAGTATACTTGGGCCTCTCCTTTCCTGTGGTGCAGTGCCGGGCTTTATGGCTCGCTACATAAATGGCACCAGATGTCAGAACCCATGCAGAGTGACAAATGAAAAGGGATTACATGCTAACACCATTAAGGTGTGTTGACATATCTACTTGTTGGGAACCAGAGAGAGCATATTGGATGGCAGCTCCCCAAGAGTACGCTGCTAGAGGGAAGGTAAACTGAAATTCACTTAGTCCCAATGTCCTGCCTACATCAGAGTGCCAACCAGCCCTGAGTGCAAAGTTTGAGTTGAGTGTGTGTGCTTGTATGTGGTGTGCTTTATGGACCCGCATACACCATATTCTTAGTGATGGTAAGACCTTTTCCAGAATCCTGTAACCATTTAGTGGGTTGAATTTTAAATCTCAGTGCATCAGCCAGGAGGAGCCAGATCACAGAGCACTGATGTCCACTGGGATTATATTCATGGTATCCAGACAAAACAAGCTGAGGAGGATCTACATTTTCATTGTTTATCACAATTGTATCCCATTTGGCCATGCATTACTTTTGTTAAAATGTGTTATCTGTAAACCCATGTGTAGTGAATTCTCCTGTAACTTTGGATTAAAGGTGTTTATGGTCTTTTTGTTTGTTTTCTTTTCCAGTAAGTTATTTCTTTTGTAGAACTGCTGATGGTATGGTTCCATCCTTCTGACCTCAGCATCTGATCTTTTTGAGGACTTTTGTTTCCAAATTTGTTACTTTAAATTGTGGTTGAAGCGATAGAAAATTGAAATATGGATTGTGCATGACTGTGTCTTGAGTGTAAAAATATTGCAGTTTGAAACTTGGACCTAAAGTATTGCAAATAAAAATGACAAACATCAATGAGCTGGTGTTTCTCTGTTCTGTCACCTTCCCACCCACCCCTGTGGTATTGGCCACTTTACATACCTCACAGGTTGGTGTGTAGCACTCTCACAGGATTAAGGCCAGGAAATGCTTGGCCCTGAGAACAATATGGGAAATGTCCTGCAAATTCTGCCACTAAGTAACTCAGACCCAGATTTCCCATCTGGTTTTTCCATGGAATAGCTCAGAGAGGCCAGTGTGCATACTCAGTGCACAGCAGGAGCCTGGCAGGTCCAAGGGACAGATGAAAGAAAACTGCCAAAAGGAATCACATGTAACAAATTTATTTTTGCTCATCCTTCTGCCTGGAAAATTCTGAATTAGTAAGGCCATCTGCATAAATGCTTAGTTTTTATCTTATATGTGGTATCAAGGTCCACAAGTCACAGAAGAGATTCCAAACCCACATTACTGTGTCATTCATTTGAAAAGCATTTCTTGAGCTCCTACTTTGTGAGGCACTGGGGACATTTTTGATAAAAACAACTTTTCTCTTAGAAACTACCCCCAAATGTGACTAAATGACAGTAAAGTTCACTGAAAGCTTCTAGATGCATCTATTGGGAGTCAGGTTTGTCAGAAACCCTCTGAGGCCTCAAGACTCAAGACAAAAACACCAGAGATTTAGCAAGCTGGAGGTTTGTTCCCCGGGTATTACTTGTACAGTGGGCATAGGGTTCCTTCTGGAGTATGTGTATATCATTTGACACCTTCTTCTAAGTGGATACACAGTGGTACTATATCTCCTACGAATGAATTATATATTTTACCAAATTGTTGCTTGGCTGCTTTCTAGTTCACTGCATTTACACATAAGCCTTATTTCTCTCACTGAATCTCCATGTTGAAAGCAAAAGAGGCATGTCTGAATATGAATGGGCAAGTGAATGAGAATCCCAGTAGTTAGCCTTTAGCCAAATTCTCTACTGCGCATGTGCACGAGTCACTGTGTTCTCTCTTCTGCTATGAGCCGCATATCCTTCCAACCTTGACTGGGAGGCTTCCTCCAACTATTATATCTCTAGTAAACGAAGTAGGAATCCTTCCTATATGTTTGCAAATTACCAGTATCTTCCATCGAAAAAAATTTTTAAAGGCATTTTCCTTTGCCACAACAATGTGAGGAAACAAAGTCCCAAATGATGGTAAATGCCTTAGTCCACAGCTCAGCCCTACTAGCTCAATTGCTGGAGCTCTAGTTTCAACTAGTACCCTCGCCTACTGAACTGGGGAGGGAGCAATACCTGGAAGGCCTCACAAATTATGGTTATTCTCTACATCCCATAGGGGCTCTGGACCCTAGACACTTGGGTGGCATCTGGTGGCGTTCCATACACCCGTGTCAAGCACTTCTGCTACTGCCTTCTGCTCATCCTGTACCAAATTTTACTGTGCTTGCCACTCTACTGATCTCTATCTGCAGCATCCATACCTGTCCCACGTAGTGGGCTTTGAGTAGTGCACTGGGGTGACTCATCCACTTGCAACCGGAATACCTTCAATAGAGCCACTGCTCTGCATGAATTTTGGCTGGCAGTCCAAGTGCAGAGAAGTGTTTCTTCCATAATACTGTGTCCATTGTTAAAGCTCCTCTTTGGGTCCTGTGTAGGACAAGTCCTGGTGAGCCTTAGTTGGTAAAGTATGCAGTGTGAGTATGCACCCCAATTTTTTCCCATCTGTGTCCCAAAACAAGAAATCTTTGATCACTTAACACCAGTGCCTTGAATCTAGGGATAGCATCCAGTAATGCTCTCTGTATTAGTGAGGCCGTGTGCTGTGCAAAGCAAACCCATGACTCACATTTGTATTTCAAGTCTTCATCAATCTTGGGCTGAAATAACCAGTTCTTTAATAGTGACCAAGTCTCTTCTTATACTGCCAAAGCTATTGGGTAATACTCTTAAAACTATAAGACAATACACTTGGGGAAAATTCAGCTATTTCAATTTATTTTAGCTGGAAACATTATAGAACCCATATAAGACATGACTGACCCATAAATAGAATTATACAATTAAAATCAGGTAATTTTATTGTAACTAAATTATACTTTAACAAGGCTGATTAAAAAATCTACATGATTGTGAATGTGTGTATGAGTGTCTGAATATATATATGTGTATATAATCTGATCACTTCTCACCACCTTCACTGCTTCCAATCTGACCTAAGGCTTCTTCATCTCTTGCTCAGATTGTTGCGGTAGGCTGTCAACTGATGTCCTTGCCTCTCCCATTGCATGTTTAACTACAGTCTTGACATGACAACATAAATAAAAATTCTTTCATGGGTCCATCTTCCTCTCAGAATAAAGACACAGTCCTTATGATGATTTACAAGGCCCTCCACTGTGTTTACCACCCCGTGATCTTGTTATCTTATTCCTTTCCCTTCTCCCCTTCACTCTGTTCCAGATATACTGGTTCCTTGCTATTCTACAAACACTGCAAGCATGTTTCTGTGCTCGTCTAGGAGCCTCTGTGATGGCTGTTCCTTCTGAGTGGAAAACTTCCCTCAGATATCCACTCATCTCATGTCTCACTTCCTTCAAGTCTTTGCTCAAATATTTCTTTTTCAAGGAGGCTTACTATGATTACCCCATTTCAACTGCACTCCCCCCAACCAAAACTCCTGACACCCTTTCGCTGGTCCTTTCCACCAAATGTCTTTCATACTCTAGCATTTATTTATTTAATTAGTTAGTCTGTCTCTGATTCCTCCCAGTTGAATGTAAGCTCCACCAGGGAAAATATCTTTTCTTTTTAATTCTTTGAGCTTTCCTCAGGAACATAATAGTCACTGAATAAATCTTAGTTGACTGAGCACATACCTGCTGGATCCTTTCCTGAAACCATGTCTTCTCTTGGTTCTGTGATCACTCTCCTGATCATTCTCCTACCTGTTTGCCACTTCCCCAGTTACTTTTTCAGAATCCTGCTTCTAGGCGTCCTTTACATGCAGGTGTCCCTCCGAGATTCTTTCATAACCTATTTCAGTCAAACCCATGTCTCCATTTCCCACCTACCTCACAAGTCCAAAATTAGTATCTCTAGCCCCTAATGTCTTCTTTGAGCTTAAGACCCTAACTTTAAATTCATCTACCTACTTGAAATCTCCACTAATGGTCCCAAAGGCACTTGATACTCAAGTTGTCTGAAACTGAATGCCTGATCTCATATTCGCCGTATCAGATCCTCTCCCTATGTTCTCTTACTATCACCCACATCAGAAATCCAGGCATCCCCCTTAGATTTCCCCTTATCTGATTTACTCCTGCTCTTTCTCCAGTGACCAAGTTCTCTTGATTCCTTCTGTTTAATATCTCTAACTATCCCTTACTTTTTACCCTCACCGCTACTGGGGAATATTGCAGCAATGCAGGAAAATAATGAAGGCCTTAGGGACCTGGTCTCTCAGCTCCCACTCTGTGCTTCGTACTGCTTGCTAAATTATTTCTTTTTAAAAGTAAACCTGACTTGGTCATGACCCTTCTTAAATCCTTTCCATGGACTCTCTGGCACCATCCGGATGGAATTCTCTTTCTCCAGTGCATCCCCTTGATGTAGGTCCTCACATCATGGTCAAGAGCTTGTCTAATACTTCTTGACAGAAACCATGATCCCTGATTTACTGATCCAAGGAGAGAAAAAGGAATCATATATGAATGGCACATCAAGAAATCAAAATAATGATCCCCAAGCCAGTAGGGAGCAAAGAAACTAATGAAGGACATTGGCTGTACTTTGTGACCACAAAGTCTTCCTGTGTGACAATCCTGTAGGAAAAGCATATGAGCCCAAAGATGTAATTAGTTCTGAGGCCTAGAACTCCCAGATTGATGAGGAGGAGGCATTTTTGCACTGCACATCATTCAGAAAAAACATACTGGCAAATGTGTTCTCCACTCCATGGTGTTTGGATTCGTCCTTCCAGTTGCTACAGGTCAACCTCCATGCTGGAAAGTAAGCTAACTCTCCTCTCATCTTTATGCTCAACAAAGCATCATCCTTGACCAATAACCTGAGTGGGTCTGATATGTTAACAATCCTTGGAAATCACCTTATAGTGGTTTAGAGCTACACACACAGAAATCATCCACTGTAGAGTAAAATGTTTTCTTACACAATTGTCACTGAGAGCTTTAACCCCAAATGATTCACCACGTGAGAAGGTCTACAATGAAATCCAAAAGTATGAGCATATTTGGTTTGGCTGTAAGTTCAGCCTTGGGATAAAAGGCAATGCCCTTCTCTGTGAAGAGCTCCTATGGAGAGATGGACTATGCCAGGGTCCAAGTCAACATGGAGAAGGACCCTGGCACAGACTATGAACCTTCCCTGTGACCCTCAATATCTGTAAGGAGCATCTGGGAACAACTCAACCACCTAAGAGAGTCCAGAGAAAGATGAGACCCCTCTGCCAGGTCTAGGTAGCAGGTTAGAAAGGGCTTTTGACAGATGTTTTCATACTCTCAGTGTTCTCAGAGCATGGGAGCAATGGGAGTATCAGAGGTTCTGGAGTTCAAATGACTTTGATTCGAATCCCACATCTGCCACCTAAGAGTCCTGGGAGTTTAATCTAATTCTGTAAACTCCCCAGGATTTCTCTTCCTCATCTGTAAAACTGGAACAGTTCTATCCAAGTAAAAAGGTTGTTTCAAAAATTGAGTGAACCATGTTGTGGAGAAATGCAGGGTCCAAGACTTGGCAAACAGTATGCTCTTGATAAAT